CCGCTCACTGGCTGAGCGAGGCGCGGGAGCGACACCAAGGGTTGCAATCCCGTTGCCGGTCCCCGGTCCGGTGCGGGGGCAACACTGAGGGTTGCGATCCGTTGCCGGACACGGAAAAAGACAAAAGACAAAAAAATAAAAAATAAATAAATAAAAATAAAAATGTCTGGAAGAATATGCTAAACATAATAGTTGTTCTCTCTAAAGCATTATGGGTTACCTTTCTCTTTTTTTTAATCTGCGCTTTCTAATTTTTCTATAAACACTTACTTCTTACATAATTTTAAAACGTATTTTTTAAAGTAAACGGGTTCATGACAGCATCAACAGGAAAATAAGCCACATCTCAAACAGGTCAGAACAAAACAAGTCTGAAGGATTTCCAGGCTCAAAGCTGAAGAATGCAGAGAGAATGAAGTCCCTGGAGCTGGTGCCACCCCCAAAGTCCTTCTGCTCAAATGCCCTCCTCTTTGGGACGGGATGCTCAAAGCAATTTTAAGCACATACCACTGAGCAATTGCATCCTCTACCACTCGGTTTAGGTGAGAGAGAGCACAAACTATAACACAAAAGAAGCATATTCCTGCTGATCCAGCCAATGTGAAAGACTGAAGTTTCTCCCAAATCACCATTTAATTATATCTAATACTTGCTTTAACAATCCAGTTTATGGATTTTACATGTTTAATAAACAGTTCCCTGCTATTAAACACTAGGCAGTTATGGCAATTAATTAATAACACCCCTGGGCTACCAGGAGGTCTATAATACTTCCAGACAGGTTGTGCTCTCCAAACTGACATTGCCATCTGAATTAGCTCACAATTTAAACAACATGCCTTCTCTTGTTATAGTCCCTTCTCTTGTGGGTACCTCGGGTTGAGATGTGTAAGCAGAAATTCAAAAGGTGGTATAGGTTTCCTTTACCTGTTATTCCACAAAGAAGAAAATCCCTTTTGTGATTACTTACACACTTTCCTCAAGTGGCAAAACAAACCTGTATGATTTTTTGCACAGCGCATCCTTGCCTGCCAACCTTGCCTGCTAATATGAGCTCAGAATTATCCCAAACCCCTAAGGTGCCTCATTCCTCTCTTCCTGAACCAATTTTTTCTGGCACTCAACTCAAGGATGGAATGTTTTTAATCCATGAGTTTCACTGCCCGCTCAGGTTCCACTGGGAACCCACTGCTGCTGAAGCCATGGACTGAGTCTGAAACTGCTCTTAAGCCCTGCAGCTCCACCCTGCATACTCACTGTTGCTGGACTTAAGGTCGCGGTGGATGATGGGGACAATTGCCTCATCGTGTAAGTAGTTCATCCCTCTGGCAATCTGCACAGCCCAGTTCACCAGGATGTCTGGGGGAATCCTTTTCCCAGATAGCACTCTATTCAAAGGCCCTCCACGGGCAAACTCCATGACCAAGCAGAGGTTGGGTTCCTTCAGACACACACCCCTGAGGGCAATGATGTTGGGGTGCTTCAGCATGGCGAAGAGCTTGGCCTCTTGGCGAACATTCTCTATGGTCTGGCTGATGTCCTCATCGGGGTCATGGCGAGCTGCTTTCACGGCAACCTCATCCCCTATCCAGAAAGCACGATAGACCTTCCCAAAGCCCCCGATGCCAATAATCTCCTCCAGCGTTAGCTCCGTAAAATCAATTTCTAACACTGAGAGAGAGAAGAAAAAAGAAGCAAGTCAAAAAACATCCCCCAAACACCATTTAGCCATCCATTTACCTGAATGGGTGTTTATGCATATCTATGAAATATAAATCCCAGTTGGAAAATCATGAAGAATCTTGTACCAAGACTATTTTAACTAACATTGGGGGAGATCCTTTTTTTGAGACTTACTCAGCTTTACTGAGTGTTTGGTGGTGAGAAACACACAACCCAGTACCAAGGCAAGATGCAGAACAGCCAAAATGTAGTGCAAGAAGAGCTTCTGTAGAAGTACGACCAGAGGACGGGAAACATCCTTGACTCCCACAGCATGACAGAGTTAAGAGGGTGAGTGGGGGAAGGATTCTCTGGGAAGGCAATATTTGAAATGGGCCCTAAAGAATGGGTAGGAGTGATGTCATCAAGCAACGAAGGAAATCAGGGTGGAGAAGGACAACAGAACAGAGGGAAGGACATGAGCAAGAACATGGGGCACGAGAGTAAACAGTGAGTATATCAGGAATTGCAGGGAGTCCAGAGTGGCTGGATTACATGCATTAGGATAGGAGATGAGGCTCAGTGCCTTGTTGGGGGTAACCACGTTGTGAAAAAATTTAAAGCCATTCTGAGGGACTTGAACTTCACTCTGCAAACAACAGGAGTCATCTATCTTTTAGAAGGGGACTGTTGTTAGACCTGTGACTTAGAAAGGAAACCAACTCTGGCGGTCATGTAGAATATAGCCTGGAGGACAGAAAGCCTGCAGCAAAAGAAACCATGTTGGAGGCCACTGCAGCACGAGGTCTGCACCCAGCAGTACTGAATATGGGGGGTGTGGGTCACCCTGGGGGACTTTCAGAACTCAGTTCTACCAAGACCTGGTGAGGGAGATCTTTGGGAAAGGAGCCTCTAGGAAACATCTTACTCCAGCAGTCACTCGTGTCCCAGTTCAACCCCCAATGGTTCCCATATCACAGCCAACCACTCACTCTCCTTCCTGAATCCAGAGTTTGAATCTAAGGTACTTCATTATATCTTTAGCTCTGTTTGGAAAGGCATCCATGGATAGACAATAATAGCTACCAGTGAATGTAAATGTTGGGCTAGATACGGTGTTAAGTGCCAAATGAGCAAAGTGCTATTGTATGTTTCTTGCACGAAACCCTGTTCTCTACCTTTTCAATCTCTTTTGTCCTTACCTGGCTGATTCACACGATCCCTCAGGTCTGTATTTAAATACCAATTTCACAGAAGAATGTCTCTAAATGAGGTCAGGCCCCTATCAAACTCTTCTGTAGCAGTCTCCATTTTGTAAGAATCATCAAGGTTACAATTACTTAATTACTTGTTCAGTGCCTGTCACCTGCTAAGCTGTGAGATCCACAAAGGCAGAGATTCTGTCTGCCTTACTCACCACTGTACTCGCCATGCCAAACACTTAGTAGGTGACCAATATATTGTTGGAATAAAATGAAAAAAAACTACCTCAGAAGGAAATAAACCAAATTCAGATCTTCAAAAAGAAAAAAAAATTGAATTGGGCCTTCTGAAACAAACACAGAATAATAACACGTTACTAAAAACTAAGAAAATAAAGATATATTTGTGAACTTTGGGCAAGATCAAAAGAGGAACTGCCCACTGCACGCTGTTCCTTCCTTACCTAGCCAGCCCCATGACACTCTTGTTTTCCATTCAGATACCGGTGCTGCTAAAAAAAAATCCGTTCTTGCTTAATTATAGCACTTGTATCCTATCTGGGGCTAATATTCATTTGTATTTTGTAATGCAACTGGCAGTCTGCACAAAGAAAACTCTTAGGAAAAGTTAGATGGACTGTCTTTAGGTATATGAAAAGTACAGCCCATCTTGACTCCAAAAGTTCCAATTGCTCAAAAGGTTGTTGCCTCATCTGGTGGTCTTCCTAAAGAATAAATGGTGTGGCAGATATTGCAGATGAGCAATTAGCATCCATTCCAAAATCCTTCTAGCATGTCTTTCAGTACTACAAAGGTCAGACAGCTAAAACTACATTTCCCAGACTCCCCTTCAGCTAGAGTTCTGGATGCAAATTAGGTTCTGCCAATCAGATGCAGAAGATTTGCAAGGCAGAAATGAGATAATGACCATCTTCTTGCTGCTTCTCCTGGCAAGCACAGCTGTGGAGAAGTGGGGTTTTTCTGCAACAGCATGTCAGTGTCCAATCACTAGCTCTGTGGATGTAGAGAGGAATATTTCATGGACAAGCAGTTGCCTACTCTTGGCTGAAGAGACATCAAGGTGTTCTTGAAGTCAACAGCTTCAATGGCAGCCCCTGAATCTGTACCTTTCCTATTAGAGAAGTAGCAGTTCCCCTGGTAGGCCAGTTCTGCAATGTTCTGGGAATTATTTTCAGGTCCAACTGAGAGCCTCTTCTCCCAGCCCTTCCAACAATTCTGTAAGCATCTAATTTTCTGTGCTAAATCCTCTTGCTTAAAATAGCTTGAGTGTTTCTGAGTCCTAAAATGAATCCTGACTGATTAGTTCTTTTTGCCTGATGTCATCTATTCTCTTGCTTAAAATAGCTTAAGTGTTTCTGAGTCCTAAAATGAATCCTGACTGATTAGTTCTTTTTGCCTGATGTCATCTATATGAATGAGAAAAATATGCCTATGTTAAAGAAAAATTAGAAAACCTCTTGGAGAAATAGGTAAGTTATGTTAAGAGTCTTTTGGTCATGGAGGAAAGAAACATTCACTTTTTTCTAACAGCTTTTTACACTGATGAAAAATAGGTGCCTATTTAACGAATTTGTATTTATCTTATTTCCTCAACTGAGCATTTGAATTCTCCTTAATGGAATTAACTGTTGTATTTTCTTTCTCTTAGACTCTCCCTTCTTTCCTCTGGTCTGAAGCATGGTTGTGAACACAGTTGGCGTTAAACATTTATTTAAGTGCGTGAGGGTTTAAAAGATGTGATTCAGAACCAGGGTGCTGAAAGGACAGCTCCTCTGGTGGCGTCTCACAGAAGACAGAAAATCTCCGTGGGGAAGGGAAAGCAATAATATCTCTTTTGGTAGAACATAAAATCTCAGTTTTTTCCTATTTAGTTAAGGAAATATTATGACCTGCCTTCAAGAAAAGTATGGAACTTTCAGACAGATAAAAGACAGAACCCACGAGGAAGGTGGAGGCAGACTTACTTTTTCCTTCCCTGCTATGAAGTCTCTTTGGATAGAGACTAAGGAAGTAGACTTTTGGTTGCAGAGGCTATGTGGGCTCTCCTTCCCTTCCCTTCTACATACAGTCAAGACCCAGTTTTAAGTAAGAATCAGGTCAAGTTGCATTCGGCACATTTTTTAGTTTCTGTGGAAAAATATTTCCAGGAATATCAAAAACAAAACCTTATTTCTTTCATTTTTGAAGTCAAGATTCTCTCTCAATTGTGTGCTTGAAAACTGAATGTATAGGCACTTTTTGATGGGTTCTGGGCAAGTTACTGATACATACCTAACTCATTTAAAAATCTTAAGTACATAGGTAAATACTCACACATTCTTATATTTCTAGTGGCTGTAGGAAAAAAGAAGTGTAGGGGCCGGCCCGGTGGCGCACTGCTATAGTGCGCCGCTTGGGAGCGTGGTGGCGCTCCCGCAGAGGGTTCGGATCCCACATACAGACTGGTTCCCGCTCACTGGCTGAGCGAGGCGCGGGAGCAACACCGAGGGTTGCAATCCCGTTGCCGGTCCCGGTCCGGTACGGGGGCGACACTGAGGGTTGCGATCCGTTGCCGGACACGGAAAAAGACAAAAAAAAAGAAAAAAGAAGTGTAAATTAATAACTTTAGTGTACACCCTGTTTAAAAAAAGACACAATTTTCTTGTAAGAGAAACTTTTCTTTAATACCTAGGATTATATCACCCAAGATGAGAAATGTGGAACGGTACATTTTTCTTCTTTTACTAAAATAAAGAAGATGGGCAAGCTCCTGGGTTATTTATATTTGTCCTCCATGGACAGCTATACTCCAATACCTACATTGGAGGGAATAAAAGCACTATATAAATATAAGATGCTTTATAATATCACTATTATATATTTTTCTTTGTCACAAGATCTAGTAATTTCTCCTCCTTCTGTTTTGATAAAGTTAGAAACAAGTTTTTCACTTTGAAAGCAATAATATAAAACTAAAACTGAACATTATTGCTTGACTTAGAACCTTCTATTCACGATCTAGAACATAATGTCACAATACATGCCCCAGAGGGGAAGTTCAAAAGGGTATCTCCAAGGAAGAGTTGTCAGTGGATCAATTTTATTTCAAGTCTTGGGAGACAAGGTTTGTCAATCACTTTACTGTCTGAGTGACACTAACTGAACTGGTGCCCAGAGCACACAGATCAGACATGCACCTGTCAGCAACTGCCTGTGGTCATCTTTACCAAAGCACTGCACTGAATTTTTCTTGTTTTTCTTTGCAGCTGGCCAGTACAGGGATCTGAACCTATGACCTTGGAGTTAGTTATAAGGCTGTGCTCTAACCAACTGAGCTAATTGGCCAGTATGAAATTTTATATGTATATCACCAGTCTCCCTCATGTGACTTACAAGCACTTCCTTATTTTATCATCTTTTTTTTTTTTTTTAAGATGATCAGTAAGGGGATCTCAACCCTCGACCTGGTGTTGTCAGCACCACACTCTCCCAAGTGAGCCAAGGGCCGGCCCCTATTATTTTATCCTTTCTTTATCTCTGGTACTTGACACAGTGTCTGTCATTCACTAGGTACTCAATAATTAGTTTTTGACAGGAATTAAATTTTTTGAACTATCAAGAATTTACTCCAGTCAAGATCAGAACTCCTGATGAAGTCAAATCAAAGAATTTACCAGGACCTTCAAGTGTCATGTTCTTTGAGTCAATCTTTCAATAAGCATAAGGCACTTCCTGTACTTTCTCATCATCTGGGTTTGAGATTTAGAAATCTACTCTATCCAAGGTAACTTTTGTTACAAT